GTCCATCAATTAAATCTCACTTCTGTCAGAATTTTTACAATTTTTCTTTTTTTTTGTATTTTAGGGAAAGGTCTACAGGGTGTTCAGGGTCTCATTACTAGATAAGATTCGTAGTAATCCACCTGTTTACAGCCTCCCAAGAGCTGGAATTATAGGTGCACACCACCACGCCCAGTCTCGAATTTTTAAAATTCTAAAAGAAACGTTAAAATATAGTAGCTTATAATCTTAGAGGGGCGAGTCTAATGCGGTATATATGTCAGTGCTAAAAGAAGTTAAGTTGGTAATAAAGATGATCTTGCCTCAGGTATTTTTGGGAATCCCCGGCTCCCAAAGTTTACTGAATTCCTAAATGTACGTTATTCTAGATTCTTAGACAAAAATATATTTGACACCAACTGTGTGTGTGTGTGGTGTGGTGGTGGTGGTAGTGGTGTGTGTGTGTGTGTGTGTGTGTGTGTGTGTGTGTGTGTGTGTAATTCTAGGGAAGAACCCAAGACCCTGTGTCTGCCAGGCAAGTGCTCTGCATCACCGAGCTCCACTCCAGCACCCGGCAAGTTTTCAATGGCTTGGTCACAAGGATTTCCATCTGTGTTTGAAGCCTTCTCTGTTAAGGGAAATACATCCTCCTCCTGACACAGGCAATGGTGTGGACCCTTGTCATTACAATCTGCTCCTTCTCCTAATGGGTGCAGAGGGAAGATGGGAGCCAGGGAGCTGGGCTATGCCTGGGGGACAGGCTGGAGACTGGAAGGCCGATTGCTGGCCAGAGGTGGAGAACACTGTGAAGTGACAGCAGCTATGATGTAGAGAAGAAACTCAGGGAGACAAAGGAGATGTGATAGAGTTTTATAAAACTTGCCATACTATTCGTTATTTAAACTTATCCCTTTTCACTTTATAATTAAAGAGTTTCATTTGCAAGTAGTAGTCTTTTCTAACACTGAACTATTATAAAAATACCTACTATTGTAAAAGTTTTTGACCTCCTACTATCCAAAGATATCACTATGTAGTATGCCCTGTGTGGAAATGTGTGGAGAAATAAGAGAGATTTAGAAAGACTGTCATAGCCTTCTTTCTCCCAGCTGGATCTCGATCACCTAGCTCAGCCTTCCAAAGAGCATTAGCATTGTTTTCCTACCACAACATATGCCCAAAGTGGAAAGGAATAGACCTGCGAGCCACCTGACCATACACCAGATGTGATGTGCATTTAGTGTGTCTGTGTTAGAGGAGGATCAGCAGCCTGAGCTCCCGGATGACGATGGCTGCCTCAGGAGTGTGCCAAGGTAACACCACATCTCCATCTGTTCAGGGCTGGAGTCAAGGCAGTGATATTCCAAGGTTGCCAGAAAAGCACTGACAAGCATCCTCCCACTTTCAATATCCTATCTTTGTGAAGAAAGGAACACCAACCAAGATGAGATTACAGAGTAGGCCGGACATCAGCAACACACTCCAGTGTCACCATCTCCTATCACTCCAGACAGGACCATCTCGCTGCAGAAAAACAGTCTCAGGACTCCCGCAGTTCTGTGCTATGGTGAGTTTGATGAGTTTGATAATTATTTCATTATATGTTACAATGTAATGACATAAATAGTAAGTGAACAATAAATGTAATGTGTTTAAATCATCCCAATATCTTCCCTCCTCCTCCTGGTCTGTGGAAATATTGTCTTCCATAAAACTGGGCCGAAAGGATAGGGGTCACTGATCTAGTGGGTTTCATTCTATTTTTTAGTGGATTTTAAGTGGTACTTATGCCTAAATATCTCTCCCTGGAAGTTCTAAACTTCAAAGTCTCCCCAGTGATTCGACTATACAATAAATGTTCGTTATCGCTACGTATGCATAGTGATATATGTATCATTCCATGGACTCTCCTCTTCTAGAGAAGGTTTAACTCATTCCTGGCAATGATCAAACTTTGCTGAGGGACTGAAAGTGCAGCATCAGAAGAAGGCTGGTCTGGAAGCTCCCTGGAGAGTCACAGGTGTGAGTTGGACTGGAAGGCTGAGGAAACTGGAGGCCAACGTCCACAGGTAGCAGCAGCGAAAGCACAACTGCCTGAACACACGGGAGCTCTTCACTTGCAAGCCAGTTGCCTCCTCTCCCTCACTCCATCGAGGCCACAAGCCTATTGGTTTGTGACGTGCACAATCAGAGCAGGTCCTTCCCCTTGATTTGCTGGCCCACATGCCAATCATCTCAGGAACCGCTGCACAGACACTCCTCAAAGTGGTGATTAAGGTCACATCAGGTAAGATTTTGTGCAGAAGGAGAAAGCATTAGGCACCAACCATTTGCATAGATCTAGACTTTTCTATGGAAAGCAAAAGATACATATGTCACTTTTAAAAATTTTCAATAGATCTACAAGCTATTGAGAAACTCAAAATCTGTTGAGGAATTATGAAAACAATTTATTTTATTTTATTTTTTTTTTTAAATTTTTATGTGTGTGTGTGTGTGTGTGTGTGTGGCCAGCTCAGCCCACCAGGGGGCGGGGTTGGCTGGCATGTGGTGCTGGGGGATTGAACCGTGGTCCCTGTGCTTTGCTAAGCTTGTTCTAAGTAGGTGCTTTAGACCACTGAGCCATCTCACCAGCCCCTATGAAAACAATTTAGAAACATTAGCAATTTTAAGGATATTAGAGAGAAGAGGGGCCAGGGAGATAGTACAAACCACACTTAATTGTGCAGAATAAGAGAAATAATTTGGTATTGCAGGAAAGCTCACTAAAGAAGAGCATTGAGGTTTGTTTTGAGAAAGCAATGGACAAAACTTGGGTGTTTGAAGGACATTTCAGATGGTGAAAGCCATGGAAAAAACAAATGATTGAGGAAACTGGGAAAAACACTTATTTCTGGGTAACTGAGGCCAGGAGTGAAAGAATTTTTACTATACACCACTTTTATTTTTACACCACTTTTAGAAATCCATTAAATATTGAAATGTAAAAGTTTAGCCTTTTCAAAATTAATTAATATTTTAATGAAAAAGACTAACTTAGAGAATACAATCAAGAAGAGTGCACAGTGAAGAAAGGTGGATGAAGAGCCTGCTGATGGAGAGCTCCATATTCTCCAGCACTACTTCAGAAAAGAAGATCTGCTGACACGAATGTAGAATGTCCCTAGTGTCACTACACTAGGGGTGTAGTGTGACAGTCGTGCTCCAGAGGGGTGCTGTGGGAGGCTGACGGCAGCAGCTGGGCTGGGGCGCTGAAGGAGCAGGGGGAAACCCAGCCCTCCTCCTCCTCCTGTCTCCGCCTCCCGTTCCAGCAAAGAGGTGAATAGTTTCGCTGCTGTGCTGCACACCTAGTGGCACAGAAGTGAGAGCAGCAGGTGATCAGGCCTCCTGTGGAGCTGACCCATCCTCCTGCTGGTGGGAACTTGTTAAAGACAATGCAGTGTTTTTCTTATTGCTATTGATTATAGGAAAATTAGCTTGTGGCTTCAAAGCATCATGTAGCTCTTGAGTCATAATTTGAATATCTTTGAAGAGAACAGCAGTCTTCCATGGAACCCCTTTTCCTAAGAAAGGATAGGGGAATAGGTTGATTCTTCAGTTCTATCTTAATCAATCAAATTATCCTGTAAGAACAACTTTTCATTAATGCTAGACGTCTAAGTGCCTCAAACAATTTCATAAAAAGCCGATTTCAAGCGCATACCAACATTGAGTATTGACTGCAAACTGAATTATAAATTACTCAAAGCAATCCAAGTCACAGCCAATGTTGCCTGTTCCTTCTCAGTGCTACTCAATTTACTCAAATGGTTTTAAAGAGGCAAAATGGCATTAGGTGTTGAAATTAAATCAAACTTGGTATGTTAAAAATCAGCCAACTGCTTAGGCAGATGCAGTGGCCGGGGTTCCATCTCCGAATTCCGTGCTGGCCCCCCACTAGCACCCCCCTCCCCCCGCACGCTGAGATGGTGATTGTGACTGGGCATGGTGGCTCACGCCTGTAATCCCAGCCCTTTGGTAGGCTAAAAACAGGAAAATCCCTATGAGTCTGATCTACTTAGTGAGACCCTGTAGACCCTTACTAAAATGATGCAAAAAAAAAAAAAAAAAAAAAAAAGAAAGAAAATCAACCAGCAAAATTCAGGTGATTTTCTGCATTATGAAATTCCTTCTTAGTCTGTTATATTTTAGTAGAAAATGTTAGTGCATTTAGTTATTATACTTACTGAAAAAATTCAGTGTACCATTTTTCATTTTTATATGAAATGTAAATTGATCATATGAAATATTGCTGGAATGCATTCTTCATATTAGTAATTTTTATGCATTAGAGCTAAAAATGCCCCTCATACAATTCCATTTAGTTTAGGAGAAGTCTAAAGTCATAGAGGTTAATTAGATCCATGCCTCTCAGCCAGGTGGCACCACTGTGGGGGCCAGGCTGCCTGGTCTCAGTTTCCCTACTACTTCATTGGTCAGTTTTGCAGCTCTGGGAACAAGTAGCCGACAAGTGACAGAAGAGAAGATGTCTTTTGCTCAGTTATGAAGATTGCGATCCACGGCTGGCCATCTTAGAGGCAGAAGCACCCAAGGTGCAGTGGAGCAAGATACTGTGCCTCGCCCCTCCGGGAGAAGCAGAGCCAAGGGTGTCCCGCAGAGGCCGGGCCAAGATGTCCCAGGTCGCCCGAGCACTGAAGGGCCAGGGTGCTCTGCTGACTCGCAGGGTGGCATCCTGCTGTGCCCTAAGGGCCACAGTGCAGTGTCTTCCACTCTCACCTGAGTGGTGTACTGTTTCCCCTGCATGTTGGTGAAGCCCACTGTGTGCCACTGTACCCATAGCCCGAGGAAAATAAAATGACAACAGAAGCAATTATATGGATAAGTATGGCTACTACAGACAGCTGAACACAGCCTCAAACAACAATATATTCTTTACTGAGATGCCAGCCTTGAAATCAGTTGTTAGGTTGTCCTTTATTTAAAAAAGAAATAAGGGTGAGTGGAGCTGGTGCAGCGTCGCCATGTTCCAGCAGGACAGTAATGATGATGCTGAAGATGTTTCACTGTTTGATGCAGAAGAGACAGCGAATAGACCTAAAAGATCCAACATTAAACATCCAGTGGCATCATTTTTCCATTTGTTCTTTCGAGTCAGTGCGATGATAGTCTATCTTCTATGTGAATTGTTCAGCAGCACCTTTACTGCCTGTATGGTCACCATTATCTTGTTGTTATCATGTGCCTTTTGGGCAGTGAAGAATGTCACAGGTAGACTAATATTTGGCCTGCGTTGGTGGACTCATCTTGATGAGGATGGAAAGAGCCACTGCATATTTGAGTGCAGGAAGGCAACTTCTCAAGAGAGTAAGTGTTTCAGAGGCTGAATCAAGAATATTTTGGTTAGGCCTTTTTGCCTGTCCAGTCCTGTGGGTGATATCTGCCTTCAGTTCTCCTCCTTCAGAGTAAAGTGGCTGGCGGTGGTTATCATGGGTATGGTGCTGCGAGGTGCCAACCTGTGTGGTTACATCAGGCGTAAGGTGGGCAGCAGGAAGAATCTAACCAGCATGGCTACCTGGTATCTCAGAGAGCAGTTTTTAAGACAAAACACTGGAGATGACCAGACTTCCTGAGTAGAGAGAAAACTTATATGTTCTGTTACCTTGGGGAACAATTGAAGAGATTCTTGATTCTGAACTGTTTAGAGATCCATTCATTTTGCAAAAAGGTGTGTTGGGTATGTTTCCTACTTTAATACTTTTATTTAAAAAATATGAAACAGGTTTTACATTGTTTTTAGTTTTTTTTCTATTTTCTGGGGCTAGAAAGTATAGTATTACCAGAAACATTTTGATATTTGTTTTACAGTATACATGTATATGGCAGTATATCCCAAATTAATGTGTTCATTTACATATGTAACAGATCTTTACATTTTGATCCACAGAGCATAGGAGGGTGTTCTTACTCTTTCATATTTCTGTGTGTTTACATATGATTTTTGTAGATTATTTTCAAAAGTAAGTTTTGATTCTATGTAAAGGTGAGTATTTTGGGTTGTATAGGAGTTAAGAAAGTTAATATGTACTTTATGGTGAAATTTCTTATTTTACAAATACATGCAAGCAGGTAAAATCCAGGCTAGTAGTGTTGACTAATTTTTAAAATTGTGTTTTTGTTTTTGAGGCCAACAATATCTAAACAGAATTTTCATAATTTATGTTTAAGGTATACCCAGGGATTGCTGCTGTTTTATTTAAGGGAAAGGATAGTGAAATTTACTTTGGAAAATTCCTGAAACCCCCTTCCATGGTTCTTGGACTAATAAATCTTTTTTTTTTTTTTTTTTTTTTTTTGGTTTTTTTTGTTGTTGTT